ATGGGTTTCGGCCATTGTTGCGAGGTATAGGGTTTTTGAAACCCCAAATCTTCTCTCTTACCCTCTCTAATCCGAAACATCACACATATTTCATCTCATCATTTCAGAAAGCTGAATCTTGGTGGGACATTGAGATTACATCTCCACACTCCCATTTTGTGCTAAAAAATCCGAACCAACCTCCAAACCCAAAACCTAGATCTAATTTTTGTGTGAAAGATGAGTTCAAGTCCAAACATGGTTCCTATAGTTATTTACTACAATGGGAGGCATTTTGAAGGTCCGAACGGTGTCCGATTTGAAGGAAAAACAAAAACGATAAAAATCAAAGTGGGCACTACATGCAATGAACTGAAGGAGAGAATTCTTCAAAAAATGGGGTCAGAAGGCATACATTCCATCCACCGCATGATAGCCAGGTCAGAGACTGTAGTGGATATGGATACAATATACTACATTGGAAACGATATAAATGATGATGAAGATGTGGAGTTCGTAACAGATGCGTTTGTTGAATGGAAAGTATTAAAATATATTGAGATATATGTTGAAGTTGATGTTGGACAATCTTCATCTTTACCGGTGCATACAACCACTACTGCACACTGTACCGGTCAAGAAGATACAGTTGTACGATCTTCTGCACCTCCTCAGGTAGCATTGGATGAGGATGAAGAGGATGAAGACGAGGACTATGTGGACAGCGAAGATGAGGGAGAACCTGAAAGTGCTATTCCAAAAGGTGATTCGTCAGACACTGACGTGGACGGTAATTTTGAGGCTGACATGAGCGCTGTAAGTCTCGGTACCCCAGCCTTGTCACCACTTCATGTCGACCCAGTCAGTAGTGGTAAGTTATTAAATTTGAACATTTGCTTTAGACAATTTATTATTTGTGGTGGTATTCATTCAGACAAATGAGAGTTGATCTTTAGATGCAGGGTCTGAGGAGCCATTCTGGAATGAAAGCCATTGTATGAAGGGGCGCAGGACAGCCATAGTTGAAAAAAGCGACGAGTCAAGATTTGTTATGAAGTGTAAAAACCATGCTGACGGTTGTCCCTGGTATATGAGGGCAATTAAGCCGAAGAAGGGAGCTAATTGGGTGGTCCGTAAATGGGGTCAAGGTCACACATGCCTAAATCAAGGCGTAGCACAGGATCATAGACAGTTGGATTCAAATGTCATTTGTGCGGCTATAATGAGTATGTATTCTACTGTGTATTTAATGATTCATATTAATTGAGAATATGGTAAAGTTATTTTTTTTTTTCCAGATATGTTAAAGGAAGATCCATCCACAAGACCAGCTCTGATACAGGAGAGGATACAGGGAACATATGGATACAACATAACGTACAGGAAGGCCTGGAAGGCAAAAATGAAGGCCATTGTTAAGTTGTTTGGTGACTGGGAGAAATCGTACGCATTCTTGCCAAATTGGCTGAAGTATATGACGGAGGTGAATGTGGGTTCTGTGTTCAAACTTGATACAAATCAATGTTTTGATGAACGTCGGGTTTATACAGACAGGGCCGTATTTCAAAGGGTTTTTTGGACATTTCACCAATGCATTGAAGCATTCAAACACTGCAAGCCTATAATTCAAATTGACGGCACTCATCTGTATGGGAAGTACAGAGGTACTCTATTGATTGCAACATCTCAGGATGGAGATGGATTTCTGCTCCCTATTGCCTTTGCTGTTGTTCCTCCAGGTGAGTAAATAATTTTGCTTTGGGGTATGTGAAAGCATGTGACCCTTCTTTGCCACTTCATACTGTAAATAATTTCTGAGCTCATCCCTATTGACTTTGTTGTTGTTCCTCCAGGTGAGAGGTTGGATGATTGGTCCTGGTTTCTTAGCCTTTTACGTTTTCATGTCACACATAGGCATGGTATTTGTCTAATATCCGATCGTCATCGAAGCATCATACGGGCGGTGAAAGACCACGGAGGGTGGCAGCCTCCATATGCTTATCATGTATTTTGTCTATGTCACATCGGAAGCAACTTCAATACCCGTTTTAGGAATGTGGAATTGAAGAAAACGTTGATGAAATTAGGTAATGTACGGTATAATTACTCACATTTTCAACCATTTGAAGAAAACGTTGATAAAATTCACTAACCAATGCATATGTCATGGTTTTTTGCAGGGTACACATGTTCAAAGATAAATTTCGACATTAGGTACAAGGAATTTATCGAGAACAATCCTGAAGTTGCTTCATGGTTGGATGCGATTCCGAAAGAGCAATGGTGCAGGTCGTATGATGAGACAGGACGTAGGTTTGGTCATATGACAACTAACCTATCTGAGTGTGTGAATAAGGTGCTTCGTGGAGCACGAAATCTGCCTATAACTGCATTGGTCAAGATGACATTCAGTAGACTCGTTGAGTATTTCGTCAAGAGACGTGAAGGGATTGAAAAAGATATCTCACAAGGTTGGATAATTTCAAAGAAGGTTGAGGCAGCTTTGCAAAAAAATGATGAATTGGCTGGCACTTATCGTGTGAGGATATATGATAGTGAGCTGTTATTGTTTGAGGTTGAGGATGCCTACAATCAATCTACACACGAGGTCGGTGACATCATGAGAGTGGACTTAATCAATCGTACATGTCAGTGTGGTAGGTTTACAGCAAGGAGGTATCCCTGCAGTCATGTATTAGCAGTTTGCAAGGTAGCCAAGCTAAACCATTATGATTATGTGGATCATGTTTTCAAAATTCCAACCATTGCTAAAGTATATGCTGCACACTGGTTTCCTATTGGCAATGAATTGTTGATTCCATCCGTTGTTGGGCCTACTGTAATTTCGGATGCTCAGTTGGTACGTGCAAAAGGAAGACCAAAGTCTTCAAGGATTCAGAATGAGATGGATTGGGTTGAGTCTCAACCCTCTAGCAGTCAGAGCAGATGTAAGCATGGCAAGCAAGTTGGACATAACATTCGTACATGTCCATTGAGACTAAGACAAGCATGATTACGTATTGTTTTTGTGTAGTACTTTGTTTTGTAATGACAATCACTTTACGTATTGTTTTGTTTCCTTGTACCCTAAACTTTATCTTGTATTAGTTATGTATTGTGTTGTTGAAATGTATTGTTGAACTGTATTCTTGTGTTGTTGAAATGTATTGTTGAAATGTATCTGTTAAGTTTAGCGAGTCACTCGTTCCGTATTGTGCAATCCGAATGTCTACCATACCCATTTACCCCTTCCCCGAGTCAGTTAAGGTTATTGTATTACACATCAATTACCAAGATGCAAACAAAATGGATTGAACAGCACCTGCTGCTGCATCTGCAACTGGTCTACCCGGGTAACTCGTAATGATATACCCGAGTACATCCTACCTGGGTAGACCAGTTCGTGGTACCCGGGTAGACCAGTTGCAGATGCTGTTGCAGATGCTGTTTTGGCAATTTTTGTTGCATTTTGGTAATTGTTGTGCAATACCTACATACGGTATGACTTGGGGGTGGATTGATTTCGTAGAAATAGGATGCAGTAATCAAGATGTGCGCCAATGAAAGTTGAACATGAATATTAAAGTACTTTGGGTTGAATTGATTTCCAAATTAATTATGACAATATTAATGCAAGGTCCCATACTAATGCATAGAACCAACAAGTCTGAACGTGCGCAAAACAAAAATTTCATTCATTCAAATTTTGAACATCCAGTACAAAAACATCCATGCAATGTAGGTAAAGTTCCTAAATGTACCAAAATGACTACATTACATCAAACTAAATCAATGATATGAAACCCTATGGACACACTAATCCGATGGCGTGTCCTCCCCATTCTCTTCATCCGATTGTGTGTCATCCCCATTGTCATCATCCTCCTCCTCCTGAGTATGGGCACCCTCGCCAATTAAACCCTCCAAGCGTGAAACCCTTGTGTCCAACCGTGCAACCCTTGTGTCCATCTGGTTTCGCCACTTGCTCGTGCTCTGTCTATATCCTCTAAAGTCAGTAGTCAGATCATATAAGGATGCCATGACATGATCAAGTGTCCATCCACCCTCAGGAGGAGCTGGTGGTCGCCGACTGCGGGTGGGACGTGTCGGTCTGACATCAACCTCAGCAACGCCATCATCATCGTCATCATCATCAAGGCCTACATCATAAACCATGAAAAACACATCTTATAAATACCACATTAAAAAATAAACAACACAAAATTGCATAAACTCATAAAGACCAACACATCACCTGCAGGTGCATCCTCCATCTCAGCATCGTGGTGGAATGGGATCTCAGGTGGTTCTGGTGCCTTCTTCCACGTCCAGATACCCGCTCTGTTCTGTAGGATCCCACACTGCTTCAGGAGCCTCTCACCAAATATAGCATTCCAGCCTCTGGCGGTCTTCAAGGTCTCTGTTGCTATAGGCACTCCAAATCTATGCAGAATCTTCTGCACCAGAAATGCAAAAGGCAATTCAGCCTTCTTTGACTTGGCTGTCTTCCACATCAGTATGCATATGTAATGCCTCCAGTTCACCTGCTGACTGTGAAGGAGGGCCCACAGGATGACAAAGTCCCCTTCCAGCACCTTTGATTGATTACGCGGGCGCTGGAAAATAATATGTGTCACCACATAATGAAGAATGCGAGCAGAAACTGACAAGTTGCTAACAGGATAATGAGCAAAATGACCGGGCTCAGCGTCTGCCCTCCTAGTCTCTGTAACAATGGTCTCCCGGTTATAATCACCAAATATATGATGGCTGTCTCCATCATATAGTGCTGCTCCTGTGACACCATCAAAATCGAACCCCAGTAGCTCCGTCCAGATAGGAGCAGTCATGATGATATCAATCCCGCAGACACGGGAAGTCAGCTCGCCTTGCGAGTAGCCAAGGTTCTGGTAGAAGGCTCTTACCATGACCTCCGAGTATGGGCACCGCATCTCCGCCAGGTGAAGTAAATGTGTCTGCTCAAGAAGCGGCACAATGTCAAAACGCTCTAGGTTGAAGAATGCCGAATCCAGTGATTTCGGTTCGCAGATCTTCCGGGTCATGAAAAACTTCACGAACTTCTCGTGTGAAGGTATGTCATCCTCAAACAAATATCCGAACGTCAAGTCCGGAGCCTGACTCGAAGCAGCCTGGGGCTGAGAGGATGACGACCCATCGTGACGACTCTTGGTTCTTCTCTCGGAATGGGTCACTGGCAGCTTTGAAACGCGTCGAGAGGTCATTGTGTCACACTATTAAACTGAAAAAATAACCAAAATCAGAAATTAGATACATGTTAGGGTTAGGGTTAGGGTTAGGGTTAGGGTTAGATTCAGGGTTAGGGTTAGGGTTAGGGTAAGCGTATGACATACAAATTGATAAAATAATTCGGACAGAATCAAATGATATAAACGAAAATACAATGAATCAGAACAGAAATCATAACATAATTGAAAAAACTGAAAAAAAAATGCACCTTTGATCGATTTCAATCGGTAGAAGGCAGAGAGGTTGCAAGGTCCGCGAATGATGATCACAAACAAGACGAATTAGTGCAAGATTATGCCTGAAATCGCTCAAGATGACACTCCTCCAGCAGCTCTCCTCGGGTACCCCTTTTGTGGGTTTTCGAAATGGGGCTGCTGGGGTATTTTAAAACCCTACCGTCGATGTTTACCCGGGTACACTGCTCCTTACCCGGGTAAATAATTCAAACATTTTCCCAGATTCAAGAACTCTACCCGGGTACACCCCTACATACTCGGGTAGATAAAAAGTTTCAAAATTTACCCGGGTAGGCTTCGTGGTCAACGGTCAAACAGGGGCAGATTGGTGTTATGTTTGTTGGGGAGGGTAAATTTTCGAAATAGTTTTGAATGAAGGGCAATTTGGTAATTAATTATTAATTAAAGGGCATAAGGGTCAAAAAGCCCATATTAATCTGTTAAAAGTTGTGATTTGAAGGGAAAGTGAGAAACATAAAGCTTAGTAAGTACAGTAATAATAAAAATAGACCAAATAATTATTCTAATCGAAAAATAAATTTAAGTAATTATTTGATACTATTATAATTACATTACTAAACTATTCCCTATCTTCAGTCGAGGACTAGGAATAGGAGTTAGAGCAAGCGTGAGACGTTAGTGTAGGACTTCGCCTCTCCGTATCAGCCGTGTCTTTTATACTTTCTTGTCTCCACCACCGTTGTCTCCGCTTTTCTAGAACCACTGTCTACCATTTAGTGAAAAACCTAGGCACTTAACCAACGCAATTACAATTGCATATCCTTCTTTAAAAAACATATATAAATAAATAAAATGTAATTGCAATTCTCATTTTTTGTTAGATCCAGAAATAATAAGATAATCATTATGATGTGGATATGCTTATGAATGAGTCACAACAACTTGTGTGAGGTCTATGATACAAATATTCATTATTTCACTAATTTATTAACATACTAAACAATTATGGAGTTATTGTTTTGGAACTTGGAATAGAATGTATGTTGGGTATGGTTGATATTTTGCATGCTGATGAGGACTCTTGTTAACGGGGTCAACAGAGACATGTAGAGGCTACGTACTGTTGTGCGCCTTTGATTTATTGTAAAATAAAATTTCTTAATAATTTGGGCTTAGGTGGTCCATGAATAGCTTCTGTTAGAATTTTTTCTAATTCTATGTATATTTTCCTTGTAAATCGAGTGATTTATAACGAGTGACGGTAGAGTGAATATAATACAGACAAACTGAACGTAGTCTAAATTGAGTGAACCAGAATAAATCACTGTGTCAATTCTCTCTTTTCTCTTTTTGTTTGTGATTTATGTAATTGTGAATTTCCAAATACACTTTACAAGAATCAATACACCTAGGAAAAACAGTAAGTTGCAATTATGCATTTGAATAGTGTAGACTCCCTTTAAAGCTGTGAACAAATCCAAGTGATTGCTGAGTGTGTAGTCCTACAAATCCCGGAAGGGAAAATACACGTAATAACGCTCCCTCACTTCCATAGTCCCATGTTTGCATTATACCGACCAAATAATTGTCAAATAGGCGTGAATTGAAGATTAAAAATTCCAACCAGGGATTCTCCAATCCATATAACTGTTTATAACAGTGACACATAGCTACCTGTTTTCTTTTTTAATCAAATGCATCGAGATTTTACTCGTTTTGTTTCAAAGGGAATAAAAGACGCAGTGAGAGACATTGGCCAATATTGATTCAAAATCACTGTCTCTCAATAAATAAATAAGACTAATTGCACCCCAAATGAAACCAGTCCAAGCATAAAAATTGACTTTTTAACTCTTAACAGGTTATTTAAATGGATGAAAGGAAATAAAATGATAAATTAGTATTACAGGCATTGAATGAAAATGAATTATTATAATTATTTTCTTCGTTCAAACAGTTTTTTCGTCGTAACCGTTGAGCAAAGAGTTACATTTCTTTTGTTGAATGACATAACAGAGACTACCCAAAAGCATCAAATAATAATAATAAATGTGAAAAGAAGGAAAAATAAAAATACGTAAAAAATCATTATGTATAAAAAATAACGTCGTTTTATTTAAAATAACAAATATCTTTTCATATTTATAATAAGAGAAAAATATTTTTCATGTGACCCCAAAACGATATTGTTTGATTTAGGATAAAAAATTTATTTTTCTCCTATATAATAAATTTTATTACGATATCCTTTATTTTTGGTAAAAAAGTGGTCCTTTATTTTTAATATTAAATTCAAAATAACATTATTTTGAAGTTGCAGGTTATCTCCACTAACAAAAAAAAAACATTAATCCCTTGTAATAATGTTTAATTTTTTTTCCTCTCTCGATGGAAAAAGTTGAAAATTATTAAATTTCAATAAAAAAACTTATCATTTCCTTAATTTCTGGTCCAAATAAAAAGGGACGGATTATTTTATTAAATGTCCCTCAATTTTTTATATAACAAACCAAATTCAAGATCAAAGAACTAAGGTCTTGCATCAAACATATGGATTTTGTTCCCCGAAGAAATAAGTACCTATTAAGGGAAAACAAAATGAAGCTTCTTCTATAGTTAACTTATTTCCTGCTTACCAAAAAAAAAAAAAAAAAAAAAAAAAACTTATTTCCTAGAATAAGAAAATTATATCGATTTAATTTTATAGTATTAAATATTTTTATTCATTAAAAATTAACAGTAAATTTCGGAACTAAGTCCTTTTTTTCAATTAAAAAAATTAAAATTCCCGTTCCCCCTTTCATTCGGCATGGCATTCAAAGCTGAATTAGACTTGCTAAGAAACGTCTAGACTGCCATTAAAACAATAACCCTGACACTTCAAAAATACACTGCAATACACATTCCAAAGACTCCAAAAAAATTCAAAATTTGCATTGCATTATATTTTTAATTTCAATTATTAAATTCATCTAACTATTTTATTAAGTTTAATATAAATATTTAGGATATCTTATATTTCTTTGCAAAATCAATGAATATTAAAAAATTTATTTTATTTTTTGTTAATTATTAAATATTGAATATAATATACACTACATAAATTAAAAATATTTTATAATATCAAAACGTGTCTTAATATATCAAAAGTTAACTTTTTAAAAATTAATATGTCAAAATATGGTGTCACGTCCCACAACATAAACAATATCCCATACATTATTATTGTTAACCATTAAAGGCTTGTTTGGATGGACTTTTTTTTCTCCAAAAGATACTTTTTTTTCTTGAAAAAAATCCTTCTTATTTTTAGTTCGTTGGAATGTTTGCTTTTATTAAAAATAAAAGTCACAAAAAAAGTCAAAAACTTACTTTTTTCAAAAGCTAAAATTGTTAACTTCTAAAAAAAGCAGAAGTTAAAAATTAAATATATTTATAAAGATATAAATAATTTTAACTTTTGTAAAAAAAAACACTTTTAAAATAAGAAAGAAATAAAAATTACTTTTTTGAGAAGGGAAAACAAACAAGCTCAAAATGTGACTGACTCAAGGCCGTTTGGATAAGCTTTTAAAAAAATAACTTTTTTTAAAAGATAAAGTTAATTTTTTTTTTGAATAATAGGGAAAATACAAAAATTAGATTAGGTTACAAATTCGTGGGCAAGTTACACCCTGCAAGTCTCTGTCTAAGAGGTGTCTACATTCCATTGGACTTTCATTAAAAAAACTGGACGTCCCAAGAATTTGAGTCGCTTCCAAACTGAGCCATAGCATCAGTACTGCATTTCCTTCACGAAAAGAGTGAGTGAGGAGAATGTCCCAAGTCCTACTTAGCAGACTTTTGATATGATTAACCAAGGGGGCTAAAGGGTGACAGGGATCACAAGAATCCTGAATGAGGAGAATAGCCACTTTGGAATCAGACTCTACACAAACCTTCTTGAATCCCATATCCCAAGCCAACAACATCGCCTGGAGGATTCCCCAAACCTCTGCTCGAAGAGAGGAGGCTACTCCCAGCTTCTTGCAGTACCCCCGCAACCATCTTCCCGCGTCGTCTCGGAGAACTCCTCCACAGCTCGGCACCTGCCCTCCCAAGCTGCTGGATCCATCCGTATTCAACTTTACCTAGTCCGCTGCGGGGAAATTCCACTTGATAAAACACTCCTCCCTTTCCGGTTTCTGCACTCCTTGGGTTACCAGTCTATCCCGAGCACCCAAAAAATTAGAAGTGTAGATATAAGCCTGCCTAATCAAGGAATCCTGGGTTGCTACTTTGTTGTTGAAGATGTAATCATTCCGAAACTTCCAAGTCAGCCAGCAAACCACAACAAAGAGAAGATACCAGTGTTGATCGCCAAAAGAACATGGATTAGACCAAAGATTATGATTAAGCCATTGGCGTTGTTGAAGTTCAAAAAATAGGGGAAGTTGTTCAATGGGGAGAAGCCGTAGCCATATACATCTGGTCCACGGGCAGTCTCTAAGAACATGCATGGTGTCCTCTGGATGACAGCCACATCTAGTACAAAGATTACAAGTAGTTAAGTTCCTCCTTTTCCTATTGACATTAGTCATGAGATGATTGCCAAGGACTTTCCAAAGAAACATCTGGATTCTACTTGGCCCCTTCCATTTCCAAGGAAGCAAATCGTTGCCATTGGAAGGAGGTAAGGAATCGAAATCAATCATGGAGAAAGCTGATTTGACCGAGAATACCCCATTACCTGACCCGACCCAGGTGACTCGGTCATCACCATTAAAAGGAGAAGGGGGCAAAATACCAGCCAAACAGGTCAAAGAGTGAGGGGATACAAATTGTTGCAGAGAGCTCCAATTCCAAGTACTATCACCCTGAACACAGTCACCTACTGACCACCTCCCTACTTCGTCAGGAATAACCACTGAATCCTTAGCCTTGACGAGCTCATTGCCTACTAACCACCTATCCTCTCAAAATCTGGTCCTTTCCCCGTTGCCAAACTGAATTAACGATCCCTGCTTCACCCTGGGCCACACCTTCTAGATACCCCTCCATAGGTTAGAGGGTTGATTCGTTTTCCTGATTTGGATATATGATTTAAAAATTATTTTTACATAAAAAAGTTGTTTGGATGATAAAATAAAAATAAAAATACTTTTTATATATAAAATTACAATAAAGAAAAGATAAAATAGCATGATCGTAAAATAAGAAGAGATGAAATAAATATGATAGAATAAGATTAAAATTGTATTTTAAAAATTTATATTATTTTTTAAAAAAAATAAATAAATTATATTATCTTTTAATTTCTGCTTTTTTCAAAAGCAACCAACTACTAGCTATAAAAAAAGCAACATTTTAAATTTTATTTTAAATTTTGTTTTTTTAAAAATTATTATACAAACATCTAAAAATTCTCAAAAGAGCTTTTATTTTTAAAAAAAGCAACTTTTTTAGCAATAAAAACCCATCCAAATAGGCACTCAAGCATTAGAAAATACATAGGTAGTCAAGGAGAGGAGTTCGCTCATTTTCTTTCAAATATAACAGATTACATGACAATTGACAAGTTAACGCTACACTGCAGCCTTAGACACGATAGAAAAAACCTTCCTATGCAATGCCAAGCACAAAATATAATAAAATAAAGCAAAGCAAAGCAAAAGTAAAGAATAAAATGCTGATATTCCACGTTAATGGAAAAAATGACAAGGAAAATTCCATCACAAAAAATTGCAGACAGAGATCTATCACAGAATCTGAGCAGCTGTATTCAATTTTTCGGCCAAGCTAAGCTGTGTTCTTGTGATGCTAGCTAAATATAACGAGAGCAAGTGATCCTGAAATGGATGAAACAATAGTTAGCCCACCAAAACAATGAATTGCGAGATGAGAAGACATGTTCAATAGTTCATTATCCAATAAAATAAGAAACAATCATCTGTTTAATTATGTTTCACAGTTGTCAAAATTATAAAAACCCGCACTTTGTTTAGCAGCCATAAAAACACTGTAACACCAAACATAATCTTACCTGCAAGCTGTCATTCACAAGCTTATCAAAAACTGATGGGGGCAATTTGGGAAGGGAGCCTACAGCATCTGATATAAATCTCCCAATTTTGTTGTCTGGTGCAACACGCCCTTCCTGAGATGAAAAATTAATTAACACAATCTAACAAAAAGGTGAATGGTTAAACAAGGTAACAGCATCGTACCACAACATCGTCAACATATTTGTGAATGTCATCAATCAAGGCTAGTAAATGTTCCATTGATGTTTCCATCCCTTCTAAATCGGAGGGAATTTTGTCAACAGTGGTTGACTTCAGGGTATCAACTGCCATTCCCAGAATAAACATGAAATCAGCTTCGATCATTCAAAATTTGGAACATTTTGATTCCATTAAAATAGATTATTTTCAACAGAAAAAAAATGCAAAAGATAAATCAAGAATAATATCGATTTGAATTTGCCATTTCATGATACAGAACAGAGAATGAGAAAAACTTCATATAAATATAAAAAGTCAACGAGTTGTGTTCTATGCTGTAAATATAAACAAATGAAACAACTAAACTATAAACATCCGTCCATGTGAACCTCAAACCAGTCTTTCAACAAAGAGCGTGAAAGCAACCCACATTCATAACTAAGAAACAGAAATAAAACAGATTGTAAATTTATCATTCCTGAAGAAAACCCAGGAGAAGGGGAGGTCAGGGAATCCTCAGTTTCAAGACTCAAAGAAGTACAATTGAGAACATATTACATTAATAAAAATTAGCAAAACATTGATGTTTGATACAAATCTCACACAAATTAGTCTATCTTGTGATACTCTGTATAGAAAAACTGGGGTCAACTAGAGGCTTTCTAATTAAGATAAAATAGTGTCACTGATAATTTAAGAGTGTGAATACAACAGAAGTATTTCACATATATTTTTCACATAAATTTTGCTATAAACTCTAAATAAGCCCATAGAACAAACTACCTACCTATTGATTCATTCTCTGGAGGAAATTAACAACTTAACTTCTAACAGAAAGTATATTAACCCATTATACGTAGGTATTTCCATTAAAAAAGACTCCGGTGAGAACTAAAAAAAGAAGATAAAGCACAAGGGATTTTGGACTCAGTCCTTTGACTCCTTTCAGCAAAATTCAATGGATAACTCTACTGCATAATTAACATGTAAAATAATTTCAAAGTATTTCATATCAGGCAAAAATTTCATGAAAATACAACTTGGAGAAATACCAGTTTTTGATTGTAGGTACCTACCTAACTCTTGATCCATTCTCTGAATGAAATTAACAACTTAACTTCTAACAGAAAGTATATTTACCCATTATATGTCGGTATTGCCAAAAAAAATGAATTCAGTTCGTATTTTCACACACTCCTTTGACTCCTTTCAGCAAAATTCAATGGATAACTCTATTACATAATTAACAGCTAAAATAATTTCAAAGCACTTCATAACAGGCAAACTTTTTATTAAAATACGACTTAGAGAAATACCAGTTATTGATTGAGTAAAAGGAAATTTAAAACACTACTCCCTTCAGACTTATCCATGAAGGTAAGCACATAGCTCTAGCAAATACATCAAATGAGAAAGAAAACTAAAGCTTCAGAGAGATAGAGAGAAGGGGGGAAAAAAGAGAGGACAATTATTATAAAGATGAAGCCCAATCAATACTTACATCCAATTCGCTCAGCTTCAACCATACGAAGATCCAATGGAACTTCTTGAAAGTGTGCAGCAATTTGCCGGTCTCCAAGAGATAAAGTGTTTGACACATACGCTTTTACGGTACCCCCTCCATTTGTGAATCCTGTATCAACAGTCAAATGTATGGGATTTGGTACTTCTCGAGAATAAAATTCATGGATTAATGCACTACCACCAGTTACTCCAAGACCAGTTGAATACCTGCATAAATAACCAAAGTTAACATTGCTTTTTCTCCCAGAAAAGGAGACATAAACACAGTGGACGAACCATCCTCCTAAGACCATAAATGTTGGGAAAAAACAGAAGAAACAATTTATCATAAAACAGCTCTCAAGTCCATTTGAATTTCAAAGTTTCCTTGGTACACACTTGATTGAGAATACTATTATGTACCACTTGAGTGATAACTATGAAAAAATATAGAATTTTAAAAGAACAGGAATTACCATCCAACTATGATTTCCTTTGGATTCACTTTTTGGTGAGATATTAACATATTGTGGTGGTACTCAATATCCAAAGCAACCTGAAAAAATAAGCTGAAAAATAAGAATAATTCTTTTTTAAGAGTTAGAACAGATGAAAATTTAATTTAACTAATGCTAAGAAGAAATAGAAACCAGAAATAGAGGATAAATCATGGAAAAGGAAAGACTGAAAAGTTCAACAATAGAATCAAAAGTAAATTTCAGCTATACAACTTCTTCCTTGGCTCTAAATAATAGCGTCAACTATACAGGTACCCAATATATGTATTATCCACCTTTTCATTTAAAACTAATTTTTAAATATGAACTTCACTTTTTTGAAGAAATCTATACAGTTCAGGCATTCTAATTGCTTCATAAAATTCTTCACCCCATCCACAAGGAGAAAAACAAACAGCTTCAAAAAGAGAAGGGGTGGAAGAAGGGCATAACTGAATAAGGAGTTCCTCTGACTAGAGAAGAAGTTCAGGAAAAAGATGTGCAAGGATTCATAAAAATTAAACAAAACAATTGCATGAAAGAAGCTTAAGCCAGTTTTCAATTTAGTAATGTTTGTTTCTCTGACTTACTTCCGGTTCTACTTTCAAAATATGAATCGAACTTCTAGATAAATCAGGGACAAGTAAACTAAATAGAACAGTTTTGGTTGTTTTGAGACCTATCTGCCGATAATTTACTATGTGAGCCTTAATTCTTTTTTTTTTTTATAAATGTGAGTCCGCTAAAATTGCAAACATGAAGACACAAGTGCTATACACACACACACACTTCACAGTTACAAATTGCAAGCATGAAGAAGCAATTAACAAGAACAGATAGCATAGTATCAAAAATAGTGAAAGCTTAGATCATCATATTTAAAAGCAACAGAGAATAGAAGAAATGGCTACGAGAAGTATATAACGCATCCACTAGCACATGCATGAAATATAATGGAGCATACATAGACCTAGCCAAATTCCATAAATCAAAAAATGAACTAAAATAAATTGATAAAACTCAAAAATGAAAAAAGAAAAATTCAAGGAAGTAGCCTTCACATTTCTATAGAAAACCACATAACATCAGAGGCTAACAAAATTTTATTCTTAATTATAATCATAACAATAATAATAATGTGGATGGAGGAGAGTGAAGGACCTGGTCGACGGACTCGTTGTGAGGAACGGCATATGAATTACGGATATCAACAGTTCCATCGGGAAGAACGGAGCCGAGTAGGGTTCCGATGACGCGTTCGGCTTGGTCAGGGCGACGAACGTAGCAGTCGCAGATGTTGAAGATAACAAGAGGGTGGACCTTCGCCGACAAGCTCGGCGATGAAGAAGAAGAAGGGAACTGCAACACTGTGCGATCGCTCGCCGCCATGTTCGAAGCTTTGATTCAGCAACTTCACTACCAAACAAAAGGGCTCTGTTCTATTCCTAGGGTTTTTGACACATTGGCTGATCCACAGTTACAGTTACTTTTTTTTTTTTTTTTTTTAAGTTTCAGTTCTCATAATGTGGCCCAATAGGCCCAAGAAAACAGGCTTATTTTTCATTTTGCTAAAAAAAATCCAAATATTGCTGCTTACACATTCACACTTTATTTTATTTTATTTTAAAAAAAATATATGTATATGAAACTATCTCTTTTGTTTACGTCCATCTAAGTTTATAATCTTATGAATAATATTCTACAAATTATTAAAATTATCTTTTTTTTTTGGGAATGATGAAAATCCTCTCCTTTTTTTTACACTATTAAATATTTATGATGAATTTTTAAATTATAGAATATTAACTGAAAGAAAATAATTGATGATAATGTTTACGTAATAATAATCTGGTGATACATCTTGTGAGTCTCGTTTTGTGACCAAGTAAATAGATAATTTAACTTGTGCATACATATAGAAAAAGTAATTCTTGAGCGGATTGGCTAGTTAATTTTTTGCTGAAAAAGATGGAACAAGAGGACTATTAGACTTTCCAATCTTCTCCTCTTGATATTAAGTGATTATATTTTTCTGATTTCAAATTTGTTCATAGGACTAGAGTTTTTTGTTTATAGTTTGTTTGCTTCCTTGTTTTGGGCTACACCCTTATTTCAACCAAAATAATAAAGAAAAAAATCTAATACTATTATTAAGTGATTGTCCCAGCTTCACACTTTTAGTCATTTTTAAAATGTCATAAAAAAAATTAAAAAGATGAAATAGTAGAATAAATACGTCATCATATTGACTCAGTCAATAGATATCATTTTTAATAATTCAAGAAGGACAACACTTCATCCTGCATTCGGATTATAAATACTATTTTTTCATATGATTTTCTCTTTCCCATTCGAATAAAGAAAGGGAGAAAGAAAGAGGGGGAAAATAAAAATAAAAACTTCACAATATTTCTTTAGTCGTAATTGTGCATAACTATTGAGGTGACTTGAATCAAGTAATGCATTTGCGCTGTTATCATAAAAAAAAAAGGATAAACTATCAAAACTTATATAAATTGTCTTAATCCATTAATTTTGACAAATTGCAAAAATCACAAAATATGCTACGTGTACTATAATTTTTTAAAGGGCTGCTACCACTAATAATATTTCTTCACAAGTTGTGTATTATTTTCTTACTAAATGATAAAAAACATAAATACCGTATAAAGTATTTTACTTTATTGGATACCAAAAAAAAAGTATTTTACTTTATTAATTGTTATTTAAATTTCTATATACCCAATCAAACAACTAACAATAGGACGGTTTGAACTATCTATTTTATAAAAGGTTTGATGTTTTTCATATTATATGAGATAAAAATTATTATCTCCTATATATACATAAAAAAATACGGGATTATGTGAAGAAAAAGAAAAAAGAAAAGAAAATATGAGCCATACATATATATATATATATATATATATATATATATATATATATATATATATATATATGAGATAATTTTATATCTTACAGTATGAGATATATTAAATTTTTTATAATTGTATTCCTTTTTACCTTTATCTTTTACCTATTCATATTTACATATTAATCTAGAGAGAAAAAGTACAAATGATCAGGTTGTATCTCCTGCATTGTCCAAACAATTCTTTTGAGAGAGACACTTATTTTTGTTTGTTTTCCCATCACAACTAATTCAAATAGGGACATGTTATATTTATAAAAAAATTTATTTATAAACTCTTACAAACTACACTATATTCTCTCGGGAGAATACTGATTACACTATGTTCTCCTGAGAGAATGAGAACATAATGTAATTTGTAAAAATTTTCAAAAAAAGTTTGTAAACGGATCCTTCCTCATTCAAATATACATGAATAAAAAATGTTGTCTACACAACATATAATTTGTGCAAGTTATATTATATCTTTTCAGTGTATCAACTAATGCTCCAGCGAAAAAGGTGATGCAAGCTGTTTATTTTGGCGGTTTGTCATTAACATTAGGGTTTTATAATTCTCATGTAACATAAGAGTTGGAATTTTCCTACACACCATTCGATTTTTGTGCTGATATGGGTTCCACATATGATTTTTCTAACATACGGGTCCCACGTACGTGTTTTTTTATCTCTATGACATGAGATTTCAATTCTCATGTAAAATGAGAATTATAAAACCCTTAACATTATTCACATATATATTTAGCAATGCATGTAGGAGTTTAAACCAATTGTTGTTCTGTATTATTGGTGTACATGAGATGTGTTCTATGGATGGTGTAGTATATTAATGTAGGGGGTGTCCATAATGGCCTTGGTAGAGACCAAGCACTAGTGAAGCTTCCTATGTATGCGCATAAAGGGGGGTGTGAGAGCTCTACAGGAGAAGAGTCGGAAAGAAGATCCCCTCTCCATGTGTGAGAGGGGTATTTAGAGAGGAGCCTCTTCTGTCACTTAGGGGCTTGAGCTGGTCAACCCATGAGCTGTCTCATTAAGCTGCCCACTGTTAGTATATGCAGGGACAGCAGTGCAGGGATGAAAATTGCCCTAGTGTTGAGTCTCTATGATTTGTCATAGGTACCTTCCAGAAGGTTCTAGATATGGACTTTAAGAGATTAGACTCATCTGATGGGCCTAAAATAAGTATCATCCCGAACATGTTCCATTACTCATCTATATCCTTATATATAAAAAATACAAGTGCGGTTTATTTAAGATTGTATATAAATCAATATTAACTTACCATGTCCTTTATTTTTAAAGATCGTGGGCGAAGTTGGGCAACATCACTCAACAACTACGTCATTCCCACTGGCATTATGGCATTTGGCATAAACTCGGGGAAGAGGCCAAAAGTTACACTAAAGACAGGGCACGCTCAAGAAAAAAGAGGGACAGTAAACCAATTTTTTTTTTTTTTTATTATTTGATAAAGTACACGCAATCACAGCGATACATCACACATGGGCTTGGCCATCTTCCAACTTAAAAGAGAAAAACTGGCCCCCATCACCCAACACAAGCACCACCTAATAAGTAATAATCATAATATTACGTTACATTCTTTACTTACAGATTAGAAGGTTTAATATTCAAAAAGTTAAAAAAAAACAGATGACGATGAAATGAAACCTATAAACTCGGCTTTGGAGTTGTGTTTTTTACCCCCACACTTGATTAACGAAGAAAATCAGCAATCACTTGGATTTGAAGGGAATGGCTCTGATTACGACTTGATGGTAAAGAGCCGCAAGAGCTGCTCCAATGAAAGGACCCACCCAGAAAATCCACTGCATATATATCAAACATGACAAGGTTAAGGTTCGCCATCTCTATCCAGAAAATTCTAAAACTTGATACTAATTAATATACTTAAAAAGAGAGAGAGATATATGAATTAACGTACATGATCATCCCAGCCAAGGTCTTTGTTGAAAACGATGGCAGCACCGAGACTACGAGCAGGGTTGATACCGGTTCCAGTGATTGGGATGGTGGCCATGTGCACCAAGAACACAGCGAACCCAATTGGCAAAGGTGCCAAAAGCTGATCATTTCATTCATTCACCAACATAAAATCAGTTCACAAATATACATGTTTTTTTTTTTCTGTTTTTGTGTTGAACTAGAATAAGAGAAGAGAATTGTAGAGGGAGTGAGGCACATACAGGGACGTGAGAGTCTCTGGCGTTACGCTTTGCATCAGTGGCAGAGAAGACGGTGTAGACAAGAATAAATGTACCAACAATTTCAGCACCAAGTCCATCACCTTTAGTATAACCTTTGTTAACAAAATTGGCACCACCATTGTACTTTCCGTACATGGCTTTCCCCTCGAAACCTTTGACCACACCAGCTCCACAGATAGCACCAAGCACCTGCATCACCATGTAGAACACCGCCCTAGTCAATGACAATTTCCTCGCCAAGAACAAGCCAAATGTCACAGCCGGGTTTATATGACCCCCTGCATCACAATTCCCACATCACATTATCGTTAAAATAATAATCACATAAAGAAGCAATTCAAGCTTAAATTGTTGGGTTGGGTTGGTTAAGACATATCTTACTCACACGAAACAGGGGACACGATTTGACACGTGAGACATTAATTCAAAAAAATATATTAGATTTCAAAAAAATAAAACACGTTTTGATATTAAATAATATTTTAATTTATGTAATACATATTATATTTAATATTCAATAATTAAAAAAATGAAACTAAACTTATAATACTCATCAATTTTGCAAAGAAACTTAAGATATTTTAAATATTTATATTAAATTCAATAAAATGATAATCATAATTCAACAAATCTAATAGTTAGAATTAAAAATATAATTTTTAAATTCTTCTTTGAGTCTTTATAATGTGTGTTAGAATGTCAGAGTGTCGGACACAACACATCAGGTTTCTTGAGATGTTGTGCATCATAGGATAATGCAAGTCCGTTGGGCTTGAAGATGAATGTTGCATTAGGTTCAGCCTAACTGTGTTCAGAAATTTTATAATATTTAATTATTTTATTTCGGTAAGGATCAAACTTCGTGATTACTTACTCACACGTTACTCATGATTACTTAGTCATGTCATTTATATTAGGAAAATTATTTTCTCATGTAATAAGAGAGAATTATCTTATGTTGTAGATACATCGACAAATGTGTCTTTTATTTATTTATTTTTTATTTTTTAACACACAGTGAGACCCACCATGTGTTGGGTCTATGACATGAGAGGAGTATCTCCTACGACATTAGATTCGATGCTCCCTTTATATTATATAAAAAACAATTTAACCTAAAAACTTGCTGACAATAATAATGCATAATATTGATTTAGAGTGAGACGAACCAGAGATGCCAGCGGTGCAGTAAACGAGGGCGAAGATCATGCCGCCAAAAGCCCAAGCGATTCCTTGAATACCAACAGATTTGCATTTGGAGTCAGCTTTGTTGACACCCATGACAGTTAAGATGGTGATGTAGAGAAACAGAAAAGTGGCGACAAACTCTGCTATGCCTGCTCTGTAGAAAGACCAAGATGTGAGCTCGGAGGGTTCGAAGAGTGGAGCCGGTGGTGGCTCCTTGTAGTCTTTGCCATCGTCTTGGCTTTGAGCTGCAGTTCCAATGGGTTGTCTCTCTGGGAATTTGTTGGCTCCTAACGCAACATCTTCCTCCTTCCCCTCCATTTCTCACTCTCTTGCTCTGAAGATGAAGTTGATATTGTCTAATAGTTATATTTGTGGTGGTGCTGATTATGATGATTATGATGATGAGAGTGGGGATGGGGGTAACATGCTGATTTATAAGGAGAATAAAGTTTAGGTGGTGGCTGGTGGGTCCTTTTCGGTGTGATATATATTGAATTTTGTGGAACTTGGTTTCTTATCTTTTTCCGCCGTCCAATCATTTTCTGTTTTATTCATGAATCCCGTTGACAGGGGTGTTTATGGAAGGGAAATGATGATTGGCTCAATTGATAAAGGCACCGTCCTCGCTGGCGTGGTTTTAAGTTTTAACCCCGTTAATTTCCGGGACCACCATGTTCTCTGTAGCTAAAGCAGGCAAAACGGGCTCGGCGGCCAACTTGCCCAACCCACCAAACGAGGCGGGGCGGGTGAGTTTTTCAATCCATCTCAAAAGAAGGCGGAGTGAGGCGGGCTCATTTTTTGGCAGGTTGACCGCGGGCATTGGCGGGCTGAGACAGATCAATGTAAAATAGGCTCGGACTGGCGGGCCAGGCCGCTCAACCCTCCAAACGGTGCGGAGCCGCTGAGTTTTTCAGTCCACTTACAAAAGGGAAAGGGAGGAGGGGGGCTGACTCATTTTTGTCAGGTTGATAGAGGAGTGGGGTGGGACGGGACGGACCGTCCACTTCGCCACCTCTATCTTTGGGGAAGGAATATAAACATGCTGGAATTTTTGGAAAAGGATTAGTGAACTGGTGAAGCATTCGAGTGAAAAATTCCAAAATGTTCGGGTGAGTTGCATGGACATGGAGTTGAATCCATCCTCTTGTCTAAATTTCACATGATAAAAATGATTTTATCATCTGTAAATTTGGTATTTTTTTTCTTCTCTTTTTGAATATTTTCAAATGTTAATTCTGCCACACTTATTTAATATTTATAAAAAAAATAGGAAAATAAATTCTCACATTATCATATCACATAAAAAATCACAATCATTCATTAATAAAACAATAATCACAATTTTAATAGAAAAAATCATAAAATGAGAAAGTAGAAAATAATATTTAATTATTAATTGTTAACCGGTCACTGAAGGGTTGTGATTTTTGTATGATATGATCATATAAAATATATATAGAGAGAGAGAGAGTGGTGTTCGGAAAATCCACTCAATATTAGATAGTGCTTCGACTTGGATAAAAAAACATTAAATAATCCATTAAAAAAATAGACAAAAAATTTTCAAATTATGTAAAATTTCCCTGGACTGAAGAGTGAGACTTCATGACTGGAGGGCAGAGCATATTATCTTATAAATTATGATAAAGTAGAAAATCATGTTTAATTAACTCTCGCATATAACTTGATACACGTCCTCTAAAAACAGCGAAATGTATTTCTTGCGCGAGAACATCTTCACCATTACTGTCATATTCAACACTGGGTAGCTACGATCATGCTAGTTAAATTTGAGATTCTATCTAAAATTGAAAAAAAAAAAAAATCGTAAAACGTAAAATACTAACGTAAAAAAATTGTAAAAACGTAAAAGCATTTGAAATTTTGACGAAATTATTTTGATTAAAAAAAATCGTAAAATTACAAATTTAAATCAGAATTTTAACTACTATGGCTAGATCATAATATAAAATAAAATTATACATTATACATTTTAAAAAATACATACTTATAATATTTTTTTCCCTTTCTCCAATAAACATGTAAGCATGAAACGCATGCTGCTACTGTTGTTGTCAATGAACGAACATAGTATATTTGGTTAGTTTTTTTTTTTGATAATATATTTGGTTAGTTGTTCGGAACCAGAATTGAGGTTTGGATAAAAATTTTAAGAAAAGAATTTTTTTAAAATTATTGTTTAAAATTTTCTAAACAAAAAAAGTAAAAACATGCATGCTGTTAAGGGGTACTGATTTTATGCTAAATTATTACAAGTTAGACTCATTTATTTTTATCACATAATGAATGAGTTTAAGGATTTGAGCACAGTCTGAAGTTTGTCTTTTAAGTACCAAATGACCTTGCTGGTAGACAGATTACAAAAAACATTATGAAAAATATATACCTCATTTTCTAGAACATTTCTTCTATTTTTGTTTTTGGTACAATTGATTAGAACAATTTAATGTAATTAAAAAGTTTACTATAAAGTATAATCTTGGATTACACCAATACTTTTGTCCATTATTATCCACGAACAAATAACTTATTTCTTCTCATTTTGCAAATCATTTAGAAAACATGGTCGGCACATGGCTGTCAAGCAATTAACTTATCTCACGCCCACTGCATATATTAAATGATATATTCTCAATTAGAATAACTCACCCTCTTATCTTCTTAAACGAGGTATAGTCACCTTTTATATATTTTGAATCTATATATCTGCGTGGATGAGACAATATACTGTTAAGACTTAAGAGCCATTACTATAATAGCTACTTTCTTTGGGTTATACATAATCATAAAAGTCGTTAGCAGATAAAAACAATTTGAATATTCTTGGAGCTTGATTATTTTAATAATGTTACCTAACATGCTCTAATTTAGTTCCTCGACTAGTACCAATACTTGTCCAGATAACATTAATAATAACAAATGGTTCTTGATCAATTTGAATTGTGGACCAATTTTTTTGGAAATCTTATTAGTTTTCATCATTGTGCTCTGGCAAAAACCACTGGTTAGAGGCATCGATCGCTCACGTCCAGGTCGAAGTAGGGTGGCATGGCCCCCCTTGCTCCTTTATATATATGTTTTGTTGGTGTCAATTAATAAAGGAACTGATCAGGACAACTTTTGGTTATTCGCATTATGTTTTCCCTTTGAGGAAGGGGACAACAATTCCAGTAATTCCGTTCAGATAGTTTAAGTTGTTTGACAAATAGCTTATTGCCCCATATATGTCTATGGCCTCATTTCATTGAAAATAGCAAATAAAATGAAGCAAGGAAAAAATAAAGAATATATAATATCGTCTATTTAATTTTTTTTAACCAATTCAAAAACTTAATCTATTAGGTGAATGTTACATTTGTAGTTTATAATATATTTTTCTAATGTATATGTCTCATCACATATGAGTTCATTGAACTTGAAGGACGAACAATACATAGGTCTACCTATTTGTACTTAAAAATTTCACAATACTTAATGATTTATTAATGGAAAGGGGCTCCTCGAGATCAAACTTATGGTTACAAGAGCTCTAATTATATATGTAAAGAATCATTTTAACTTAAAAAGCTTATGTTCTGGACCAGTCACAAAGGCCTTGTCTATTAGGCTGACCACAAAAGCTTATATAAGGGATTATACCTTGCATTCCTAAAGTGAGATAATTGTACTCTTATCACATTAAATCTCCCTCCCCAGGCATAAACACCTCATGCATCAAGTGAGGATGTTTGTCTCACACCTAGTGAGACTCACAAAGGCAAAACAGTTATGACTCTCCTCTTATGATGCACGGACACCGACACGCGACACGGGACACGACACGATACGACACTCCGACACGATAATATCAAAAAATGTTAAATTTCGACACGTTAGGACACGTTTTGATATTAAATAAAAATTTTAATATATATAATTAATAAGCCTATTGACTACCTGATTTTATGTTTCTCTTGGCCCTCTTATCTTGGATTCTCCATATATTCAACAGATTTATTGGGCTGATTCATAACAACACCTTGTCCTACAAGCTTAGGCATTTGGTAGGGAGTGTTGAGATGCGTGCACCAAGTTCCTAAGAAATCAATTATGGCTTTTAGTATTCAAAATAAAAAAATAATGGCATTTGAATCAATTGGCACGTGGGTAGCATTCAAGCTATTAGATCAAATGACAATTTTTTGCCAACACTTAGAGAATGAATCTTGTCCGCCGAAGAATCTCGTAAATGATGGGCATCATCCAACGGTTACTTTAGTGTCAACTTTAACAATTGCTCTTGGACCATTTGATTACATTGAATACTGTGAGACAACTGGCTGCCATTAAGACTTGTGATTGGACTATACAACGCGTACGAAGAACGACGCGAGGACGAGGACGAACCACCGCTTGGAACGGAGACGAAATGCTTGACAAAAGATTGAGGGAGAACGGCGTGGTCACTGGTTTACGGCTCAAAATCGAAACTGGGTTGTCTGTCATGTTTTTTTTTTTCATTTTATAAAAGTTTTAAAATTTTTACATTTATATCCTTTGACCCGTGTCCGACACAGTCAAAATCGCGTGTCGCAATAGTCAACGTGTCCTAAAATGTTGACCGCGTGTCGAACGCGTGTCGGAACGTGTCCGAGCTGTCCGTGTCGGACACGTGTCCGACACTCATTTTTCATACAAAATGCCGTGTCCGTGCTTTAGAGCTCTCCTCATTATTGGAGAATATTCCCCACCTACATATATCCTTCCTTTACCATTGAAGAAACACCTTGTGCATATTTATTTCCATATTGTTATTGTGCTAAAATACTATAAAGCCAACATCCCAACATTGAAGATTCACCCATGACGAGTCTCCCATTGAGAGCCCGTTTGTTTTCACTTTTTAAAAAAATAACTTTTATCTCTTCCTTATTTTAAAAGTGATTTTTATAAAAGTTAAAATTATTTATATTTTGATAAAAATATTTAGTTTTTAAAAAAAATATTTAGCTTTTGACTTCTGCTTTTTTTAGAAGTTGAAATTTTTAGCTTATGAAAAAAGTAGATTTTTGACTTTTTTTGTGACTTCTGTTATTTTTAAAAGCAGACATCCAAATGAACTAAAAATAAAAAGTGTTTTTTTTCAAGAAAAAACAGCTTTTGGAGAAAAAAAGCCATCCAAAGAGGCCCTGAGTTTAAATTCATAGTTCAACTTTATAAGATCACTGTGATGTCCACATATTTTACCCCTTTGAGGGAAACAAATCAATTCTCACGCTATAATAGTTCAGCTTTAATTTGTTTGGTGAGAACCACATTAAATTAATGGTAAGGATGCTCCACTCATTTTAAATTAATTACAAATCTATAAC